GGTGAGGTGTGGGATGGGGAGGGCAGGACGGGGCCTGGTTTGCAGCCTGGCAAGGTCTGGCACTGGCTGTCTCCCACGCAGGTGGCTCAAACGTGGACGATGCTGCGGATTATCTATTCCAGCCTCGGCACCGTGTCGTCCGCCAACCTCAACCACAGCATGGGCAAAGGCAGCGCTGCCCTCCCGCTCATGAACAGGTACGGGGGGTTGGAGCTGCTCTGAAGGATGTCATGGCTGGGGCAGCTCCATGAGTGGGAGAGTGGATGTGGCTCCTTTGGGATGGAGTCCTGGAATCATATCATTGAATCACAGTGGCTTCGGTTGGAAGGGACCTTAAAGCTCATCTCATTCCGCCCCCCTGCCACGGACAGGGACACCTTCCACTAGCCCAGGTTGCTCCAAGCCCCACCCAACCTGGCCTTGAACACTTCCAGGGATGGGGCAGCCACAGCTTCTCTGGGCAGCCTGTATTGGGGCCTGACCAACCTCACAGGGAAGAATTTCTTCTTGACATCTGACCTGTCCCAGTCACAGAGTGGGAGCAGGGACAGCTCTCCCTAGCCTCAGGCCAGACTGGGATCCTTTGGACTCAGCCATTTCCCATGTGGGTGTGAGAAGTGAGTGCCCAGCCTGGCCTTGAGCCATGCAGCCTCTTGTGCTGCTCCCTTCCCTCCTGGAGCCGGAGTTTGGAGCTGTGGTGGGGTGTGGGACTAGAACCAGCTCTGCAGTTACTGAATTCATGAGTCATTCGAGTTTCTCTAAGATCATCGAGTCCAACTGTCAACCCAAGACCACCAATAATCTGTGTCCCCTAAGCACTACATCTACACGTTTTTTGAACACTTCCAGGGATGGTGACTCCACCACCTCTCTGGGCAGCTGTGCCAGTGCCTGACCACCCTTTCCATGAAGGAATTTCTCCAATATCCAATCTAAACCTCCTCTGGCACAACTTGAGGCCGTTTTCTCTCCTGTCCCTTGTTCCCTGGGCGTAGAGCCTGACCCCCATCCTGGCTCCCCCCTCCTGTCAGGGAATTGCAGAGCCAGAAGGTCCCCCCTGAGCCTCCTTTTCTCCAGGCTGAGCCCCCCCAGCTCCGTCAGCCACTCCTGGTGCTCCAGACCCTTCTCCAGCTCCGTTCCCCTCCCTGGACGTGCTCCAGCCCCTCTTGTTGAGAGAGGCCCAGAACAGCCCCAGCACTGGAGGTGCCCCAGCAGTGCCAGCACAGGGATGGTGACCAAGGGCTGGGGGTGGAGAAGGTGTCTCATGGCTGGAGCTGGGGCTGGGGGTGTGCAGAGGTTTTCTTCTGCCTTTCCAAGGGAGAGCACAGCCCAGCTCTGTGAGAGCCCCATTGTGGGCTGATGAAGCAGGAAAACTTGTTTTTCCTCTTCTCAATGACATAAACGTGAGGGGTGAGGACTCCAAATTAGCTGTCAGACCTCTCAGGGCCAGGTTCCCACAGTGAGTGACAGATCCTCAAATAACATCAAAAGAAACAAGCACTGTCCTTGACCAAGCTCTGCCTCCAGCTGGGTTGCTCTGCCACTGACTGAAACACTGCTGGGCTCTGCTCCAGCCCCATCCCTTCCCTTTTCCATCGGTGAAAGCTGAGCATGATGGTGAATAACAAACAGCCAAGCACCCTGGAACGAGGGAGCTCCTGTTCACCTGCCTCTGAGGGGAAGGAGGTAGAGCAGAGGGTCTGCTCAGCACTGAAATTCTTCAGAAGGACCTTTGCAGTGCGTGTGCAGTGACACCAGGCTTGGAGGGAGGGCTGTGACCACAATTGCAACGTCTTTAAGTCACACAGTGAGGACAAGTGACTTCTGCTCTCAGGGAAATCACCTTCTCTCATGTTTCACCATTCCAACTGCAACTGGACACCTCTATCCAGGCCATTTGTTGGATGGAATGGAAGCTTTAAACCTCCATGACCTATTAAATATGGCTTTTTTCCCCCAGCTTTAACCTGAAGGACATCCCCTCTGGGCTGGGCAGCGAGTCCAGACTGGACCGCAGCAAAGGAGAAAGCCGCACAGAAAACATCCTCATGGACTCCTCCTCCACCCTGATCAACAACGAGGGTAACATTCCTGGGGGAACAGTCCCACTCCTACAGCTCTTCCCTCCTTAGCTGTGGATGTGGGATGAACTGGTGCACTTATCCTGCAAATTGGGGTGGCTGGACCTGCTGCAGCCCCAGGCGAAGGACACCAAGCCCCAGGGAGCTGCAGAGGGACAGTTTACCCCCGTGATCTGGGGTGACAGTGACAGTGGTGGCTGTGGGTGCCAGGAATGTGATGTGCTGGGGAGCTGGGCTGTCTGACTCGGGCACAGCCTGGCACGCTGGAGGACACGGGGAGGTGGATCCAACCATGGGATGAGCTGATTTCTCTCTCCCCGGGCACGCAGACAACGAGGAGACGGAGGGCAGCGATGTCCCTGCGGATTACCTGCTGGGAGATGTGGAGGCAGATGAGGATGACCTGTACATGATGGACCACGAGAACCCACATGGTGAGCGCATGGCTGGTGCTGGGGGGTGCTGCCTGTCCCAGATGGGCAGCTGGATTTCTTCCCTGCTCATTCCTGCTATCTCCTCGCAGCTGAAGAGCAGGAATACAGCCTTCCCCAGGAAGCCTTCCCCCTGCGCCACGAAATCGTGGACAACCCCTCAGCCTTGGACCACCTGCAGGACAAGGCTGACTCCCCCCACGTCAGCGGCAACGAGGCCGAGACAGTGTCACTGACACCCGTGGAGTCCTTCTCCCTGATCTCCATCTCCCACTCGCTCTACGAGAACCGCCTGCCCTCCGACTTCTTCAGCCCCATCGTGCGGGACACGCTGCTGTTCTACGCCGAGCAGGGGGACGTGCAGACGGCCGTGTCCGTGCTCATCGTGCTGGGGGAGCGCATCCGCAAGGAGATCGACGAGCAGACACAGGTGGGACCCCCTGGGGGGCAGGGGACACCTTGGTGGGGTCCGCAGGCGGTGTATCCCAATGCTGTGAGATCCCTCCTGTGCTCTGGGAACCTCCCTTCTCCTCCAGCCCCTGCCAGGTCTGCTCTAACTGGGGTGGGCAGCTCCAGGACCCCTGGTACCTGCTGGTACCTGCTGGTACCAGGGACTTGTGGTGTCTGCAAGGCCAGGGTGGGGGAGTGGCTGTGGCCTGTTGATTTGGGGAAGGATGCTATTCCCCAGTGTTGCAGAGCTGTTCTCCCACCACAGGGATCTTAGACTCATGGAATCCTTTAGGTTGGAAAAACCCTCTAAAATCATCAAGTCCAGTCGTTTCCTCAGCACTGCCCAGGCCACCACTAACCCATGTCCCCAGGTGCCACATCCACACGGCTTTTAAATTCCTCCAAGGATGGTGACTCCACCACTGCCCTGGGCGGCTGTGCCAATGCCTGACCACCCTTTCAGGAAAGACATTTTCCCAATATCCAGCCTAAATCTTCCCTGGCACAACTTGAGGCCGTTTCCTCTTGTCCTGTCCCTTGTCCCCTGGGAGCAGAGCCTGAACCCCCCTGCTTCCCAGCTCCCCCCTCCTGTCAGGGAATTGCAGAGCCAGAAGGTCCCCCCTGAGCCTCCTTTTCTCCAGGCTGAGCCCCCCCAGCTCCCTCAGCTGCTCCTGCTGCTCCAGCCCCTTCCCCAGCTCTGTTCCCTTCCCTGGACATGCTCCAGCCCCTCAGTGTCCCTTGTCTGAGGGTTCCAGAACTGCCCCCAGGGCTGGAGGTGACCCAGCAGTGCCAGCACAGGGATGGTCACTGCCCTGGGCCTGTGCCCACACCATGGCTGGGATAGCCCAGGCATCATTGACTCACCTTGCCCACCTGGGCACACCTGGGCTCATATTGAGCCACTGTTGACCCCCAGGACCTTTTCGACCTTTTCAACCAGCTCCTCTGCCCCAAGCTGGGAGCGCTGCAGGGGGCTGTGACCCAAGCATGGATCTTGCCTTTGAGAGGCAGGGCAGGGAGATCCCAAGGGGGTTTCAGGGTGGATGTTGAGGCTCTGCCATCTGTGGCCCTCCCAGGAACACTGGTACACGTCCTACATCGACCTGCTGCAGCGCTTCCAGCTCTGGAACATCTCCAACGAGGTGATCAAACTGAGCACCTGCCGTGCCATCAACTGCCTCAACCAGGCTTCCACCACCCTCCACGTCAACTGCAGCAACTGCAAGCGGCCCATGAGCAACAGGGGCTGGATCTGCGACAGGTGAGGGCACAAAGCGGGCACAGAGCTGGGGACAGCTCAGCAAGGGGGTTCCAGGGGCTCTGCGGGGGCAGGAGGATGGGGTGGGTGCCCGTGTTCCCCCTTGGTGCCCCCCAGGGCTCTCCCTGCCCATGCTCCTCCATTTCTCTCGTGCAGGTGTCGGCAGTGTGCCAGCATGTGTGCCGTGTGTCACCACGTGGTCAAGGGGCTCTTCGTGTGGTGCCAGGGCTGCAGCCACGGGGGCCACCTCCAGCACATCATGAAGTGGCTGGAGACCAGCTCCCACTGCCCTGCTGGCTGCGGCCATCTCTGCGAGTACACCTGAGCCCTAAGCCCCACAGGGGGGAATGGCAGGCAGGGGATGGGCAGGGCAGGCAGGATCTCCTGCCTGGTACCCCCCACACCTCCCTCCCTGTATTTATTGTGTAAATAAGGGCTGGGGGTGCCCCCCCTGCCCAGCCGTTTTGTACTGGATTAAAACAAACCAGCAGCTGAGCCGAGTCATGACTGTTGTCTTCACTTCACCTGGATGCAGAAGACCCCGGGGTGGGGCTGGACCCCGTTTCGGGCCGGGGGTCGGTGCCCCGGGGGCCTGGGGACCCCACTTTGTTGTTACCCCCTTACGCGAGGAGGCCCCTTTAAGCCTTGATAAGGGCCCCACATTTCTGTTGCCCCTTTAAGCCGTGAGGTGGAGCCCATTTCATGTTGCCCCTTTAAGCCGTGGCCCTCACCAGGCGGATGTGCGCGCGGTGCATGCCGGGGGTCGTAGTTCCGGTGGCGATGGCGGCGCGGCTGCTCCCGCTGCTCCCGCTGCTGCTGCGCTGGGCCCGGCCCGTCCAGGGCACCGCCCCGCCGGGCGGCGGATGGTGAGCGCGGGGGGGCTTCCCCGGGCCAGGCCGGAGCATGGGGAGCGCGGGGGGGCTGCCCCGGGCCGGTCCCGGTGCCGGTGCCGAGCGCAGCCTCCCGCTGCAGGCTGGCGGGCTCGGTGCCGGAGGAGGAGCGCTGCACCGTGGAGCGGGTCGATGCCTCCCTCACATACTCCCTCTTCCTGCAGCGGTAACGGGGGACCCGGCGCGGCCCCGCTAGACCGAGACATGGGTCCCGGGGCGGGAACAGTGCCCGGTGCACCGGGCGGGATAACGGGGAGGGATCGGGAGGGTCGGAGGGGCGAGGACCCGGGGAAGGTGGTTGGAGCCGGTCCCAGTGCCCCGGGAGTGGTTTAGAGCCTGTCCTGGTGCCGGTTTAGGGCCAGTCCCAGTGCCCCAGGGATGTGTCGGGGTTGGTCCCGGTACCCCTAGAGCCGGATTGAAGCCGGTCCGGTGTCCCGGGGATGTGTTAGGACCGGTCCTGGTACCTCCGGGGGTGGGTCGGGGCCGGTCCCGGTGTCCCGGGGATGTGTCAGGGCCGGTCCCGGTGCGTCGCCCGGGCGGGACCCCGCTGGATGCTCCCCCAGGTTCGCCTTCTCCCGGCCGGTGATCCTCGGCGGGGTCACGGACAACTCGGTGAGTGCCGGGAGGGTCCGGGGGGACTCCGGGGAGGTCACATACCCCCCGTGCCATTCCGTCCCTGTGGTCCATCCCCAGGCGTTCCGAGCCCTGTGCACCCGGGAGAAGCTGCTGGCGGCGTTCGGGCCGCTCCCGGTGCGGCTCAGCACGGCCAACACCTACTCGTACCGCAAAGGTGAGGGGGGGCCGCGCCCGGCCCGGCGGGGCCGCTGCCCCCGCTCACCGCTCCCGTTCCCGTTCCCGCAGTGGATGTGCCGTTCCAGGAGTACGTGGAGCGGCTGCTGCAGCCGCAGGACCCGGCCCGGCTGGGCAGTGGTGGGTGCAGCACCGTCCCGGCCCCCCCGGAACCCCCCGGTCTTCACCGGGCTCAGCCTCCCGTGTTCCCCCAGACACCCTGTACTTCTTCGGCGACAACAACTTCACCGAGTGGGGCCCCCTGTTCCAACACTACGTGCCCCCTCCGTTCCGCATCCCGGGCACCAGCCCTGCCTACAGCTTCGGGATCGCAGGTGGGCACGGGGCGGATCGGGGGGGGGGGAAATCGGGGGGTCTCCCCAGCACCAACCCCCCGTTCTACCGCAGGCTCAGGCTCCGGTGTTCCCTTTCACTGGCACGGCCCCGGTTTCTCCGAGGTGATTTTTGGCAGGAAGGTGAGAACTGAGCCCTGAGAGAAGGATTTGGAGGGGCGAGGGAGAGCAACAAGCCCCCTAAGGGGTGTCCCTGAACACGGGGAAGCCCTGATGGTGCTGAGCCTGAGGGGCTGGAGGGGAAATTGGGGGGGCGGGGTGTTTCCTCGGTGTTTTCCAGCGCTGGTTCCTGTACCCCCCGGATAAAACCCCCCACTTCCACCCCAACGAGACGACGCTGGCCTGGCTCCAGCACACGTACCCCACGCTGCCCCCTGCCCAGCGCCCGCTCGAGTGCACCCTGCGCCCCGGGGAGGTGAGTCAGCACCCAGGACCCCCGGGAGGGTGGAGGGGACCCCACACAGCCCAACTAGAGCCACGGGACCCCCCGTGCTCCCTCCCGCAGGTCCTGTACTTCCCTGACCGCTGGTGGCACGCGACACTCAACCTGGACACCAGTGTCTTCATCTCCACCTTCCTTGGGTAGGGCCAGGAAGGACAAGGATGTGTCACCATCATCCTGGACACGGCAGGAATTCCTGCCACCCTCAGGGAAAGGCAACTGGTTTGGGGACCAACTGCCTGAGAAAGTTCTGGTTTTTACTGGTCTTTTTCCTCCCCCTTGGATTAAAGTTGTTCTACTGTAGCCATTGTGTGTTGCTACATCCCCCCTCCCACTGGCTCCCGAGCCAGGATATCCCCAGAAATCACTGCTGTGAACCACTTCAGCTCCTTTTCCACATTTATTGCTGATTTTTTTTTAATTATTTTTATATATATATATTTTTTAATGGACATTGGCAAACTTCCAGGGGGTGCTCAAAAAGCCAGGCAGGCTGTGGGCCGACCAAAATGCTGGAACCTCAGTTGGATACAGATTTGTTGGTTATTTTTTGTGGTGTTTTTTAAGGGATTTAATTAAAGGAGTAAGAACCTTAACCCAGGTGGTTGTTTGCAGGGAACCACAGGCGAGGGGAGGTGGGAACCAGCCCCTTCCAGCCCTAGGGCTGTTGTTTCCTGGGAAAAGCCAGAGGGTGAGTTGGTCTCACCCTGGCAAGTGGCTATTTACAGGGAAGAGGACCCAGCCCTGGCCAGGCAGAAGGTGGAAGGAGGAGGAAACAACTATATACACAGGGAGGGACTGGGCTCCAGGTGCTCATCCCAGCGAGCTCCCTGTGGCACTCCCTGGAGCAGGACACTCTTTGGGGACTGCCAGCGGCCGTGGCCGAGGGGGACCCTGCTCTGTGAGCCATGGAGATGATAGTGAGGCCACTGCTGCTAAGGCAGCCTTCTCCCGACCCCCAGGCAGGTCTTGGAGCTGGAGAGGGGAGCCCAGGGAGCCGTGGTGCCCACCCAGCCACTACGGGAAGGGGAGATGGTGACGTGCCCTCGCCTCACGCTGGGTCTGGGGCAGCCGGAACGGAGGGGGAGCAGCCAGGGAACAAGTAAGGCATGGTGCCAGCCTGGGGAGCTGTGCTGGGGCACTCCAACACTACCCCAACCCCTCAGTTATGCCCCCCCAGGCCCCTCAGTAATTCCCCCAGCCCCTCAGTAATCCTCCACCCAGCCGTTCTCCGAGATGAAGGCGTCGATCACCTCCTTCATGGCGAGGTTGGGGATCAGCTGGTCCTGGGTCAGGGGACTCCGCGTCACCGGGTCGAAATGACCCACGCGCTGCAGGGAGGAGCGGGTGGGAACCGGTTACTCCACGTGCCCGGGCTCAGCCCTGGGCCACAGGGACCATTGGCATCTGCCCTGGCATCCGGCACGGCAGCCAGGCCTCCGGGGGGAAGGAGGGACAGCCCCCTCTGAAGGTGCCTCTCAGCAGGATGAGGGCAGGTCAGGGCACAAGACCCCGGCCAAGAGCCGCCTCTGCTTTGGGCAGGGCCTGGCAGCACCTGCTCCACAGGGAGCTGCCCTGGCACGTAACTGGGAACAAACCCAAGGAGCCTGCAGAACCCTGAGCTGGGAGCTGCCTTCCTGCCCAGGCAGGAGAGGAAGGCAGGAAAGGTGCTGGGAAACCCCCCTGCCCCTGGCCCGGTGGTACCTGGAGATGCTCCTCGATGTCCTTCCTGTCGTAGGTGATCCCACTGGGCGTGATGCAGGGCTCTCTCATCAGCTCAAAGCTGATCTTCCCGCACAGGTAGTCAGGGATGTCCCGCTTCTGGCTCGAGAGAGGCACAGCTGGGTCAGGAAGATGGACTGGGAGGTGGTGCTGGCTCAGAGGGGGAAGCAGGGAACACGGCAGGGGAGAGATGGGAGCGCAGGTCAGGGCACACTCACCTTCCTCTTCTCATCCACCTGGGAGAAGAGCTCGTCCATGTCTGCCAGGTATTTGTCCTGAAAGAAAAGCCCTTCAGGACAAGGACACCCCAGCACAAATGGGCTACCCCAGGGAGAGCCCCCAAGCCTCCCACCCATGGGAGCAGCTCCTCGGCCCCTCTGCCCGTGCAGCTCCCAGCTGAACCTGGCAGGAGTGATCCAGCTTAAAACTAACCTTCCTTCGTGGGGCTATTTTTATCAGGGATTAGTCCCCAGCACCCAGACCCACATGTGGCCAAGAGCCACTGGTGTTCCCTCAGGGAACAACAGGCCCAGAGGCATCACTACTGCTGGGCTGGGACAAGAGGTGAGAGAGCAGGGGCAGCTGTCACAGGGGGACACAAAAGCACCAGCCACAGAATGAAGGCTGAGGAGCTGTGCTCTGTCCTGGGGTCTCTTGGCTTTCATCTGCACAGCCGCAGCCCTGGCTTCCCTGGCTACAGAAGAGCCTGGGGATGAGCATGAGGATGGGATGAGGAAGCCCCCACTCACGTGCTTGGCCTCGATGGTGGCCAGCTGAACTCGGCTCCGGCTCTCGTCCGTGTTTTCTTCTTGCTGGGTCTTCCGGCACTCGGCCAGCTCCCTGGGACAGAGCAGAGCAGGAGGATGGAGGGACACTGCCGCTCCCTTCCCTGCTGTCCTGGAGGGCAGAGGCGCCTCACAGAGACCTGTGACAGCGTGGTGATACTCAAAAAGCCTTTACTGGTGCCCTGTGCCCTGTTACCTCTCCTTCTCCGCCATGATCAGCTTGGTCAGGTGGGAGTGCAGCTCGTTCTCCTGGTTGATCCGCTTCTCCTCGATGCTGTTCCAGCGTTTCTTCTTGGCGATGCGCAGGGCGCTGGGGATGTCGTCCCCGAAGTTCAGCCGCTGCTCCTTGGCCAGGTTGTAGGCTGGGGAGAGCAGGGCCATGTCAGAGCCAGCACCGGGTCCCTGGCACCACCCTCGGCCCTTTCCCACAGGCGGAGGGGCCGCCGTGCCCGCTCACCTCTCTGCAGGTTGGCAATGGCCTCGTCATAGTTCTCCATCTCCAGCTGGCACTGGCCCAGGAAGAAATGGGCCTTCACCGACTGCCCGTCCAGCTCCAGCGCCCGCTTGCAATCTGCCAGGGCCTTGTCGTGCTGCTGCATCTTCAGGTAGCACAGGGCCCGGTTGGTGTAGTACACGGCCACCAGGGGGTTCCGGTTCTGTGGGGACAGCCCCATGTCACCGGGGATGGCAGGGACAGCCGGGGCACTCGGTGACACTGTCACCCGGGCAGGGACAGCCGGCAGTGCCAGTGCGGGCGTGCAACCCATGGGGAGGTGCCTGGATGGATTGGGGACAGGCTGGGCCGGTCCCCATAGGGCAACCTGTGTCCCTGCCTCCAGAGGGGACAGTCCCCACCAGCTGGGGGGGCTGGAGCACCCCGGGGGGGGGCCCTACCCAGCACAGCCTGGGGATGGAGCAGGGTGGGGGCACCCTGGGGGTGAGTGGAGAGTCCAGCTCAGAGAGAGTGGGGGGACAGGCTGGGCTGGGAGGTGTCCATGCCCGGGGGGGGGGGCTAGGCCAGGCCTGGGGGGCATAGTCCAGGCCCAAGAGGGAGGATCCAGGCCCAGGAAAGTGGTCTAGGTCAGGAGGGGACAGTGTCCAGACTAAGGGGGTCCCATCCTAAAGGTATCCAGACCAGGCCCGGGAGAAAAACATTGTCCAGACTAAGGAGATTCCATCCCGGGGTTATCGAGGGCAGGGCTGGGGAGGTGTCCAGGCTGGGGGAAGCGGGGTCCCATTTCGGGGGTGTCCCATCCCCGAGGGTCCCGTCCCGGGCTCAGCCAGGCCAGGACCGAGAGGGTGCCCAGGCCAAGGGACATCTCATCCTGGGGTTATGGAGGCCAGTGCAGGGCCCGTTCCGGGGGTGTCCAGGCCAGGACCGGGCCGGGGGGGAGGTTGGTGTGTCCTGTCCCCAAGGGATCCCATCCTGGGACCATCCAGGCCGGGGTGACCCACCCCTGAGGGCCCATCCCGGGGGTACCCGGGCCAGGCCCGTGGGGAGGGGGGCGGTGTGTCCCCTCCCCGCCGATCCCGTCCCGGTAGGACTCACGATGGCGCGGCCGTAGCAGGCGGCGGCTTCGGGGTACTTGCGGCCGCCGAAGAGCCGGTTTCCCTGCTCCTTGTGCTCCTGCGCGCTGTGGCTCTTCTCGGGGCTGGCGCCCCCCGCGCCCCCCGCGCCCGGCCCCGCCGCGCCGGGCCCCGCCGCGCCCTCGCGCTCCTCCTTGCCCTTCATGGCCGGCGCGGCCCGGCCCGGCCCGGCGGCCGCGGCTCCGCGATGGGCGGCCCCGCTGCGCTGCGCCCGCGCACTGCGCATGCGCCACCGCCGGGGCGGGGCCGTGGGAGAGGCCAGCGGGGAAGGGCGGAGCCGGCGGGGAAGGGGCGGGGCCGGTTCGGCAGGGGAGGGACAGACAGCGAGAGGGCGGGAGTTGGAATGTGGGCGGGGCTAATGTGGGGGGCGGGGTCTGACGGGGAGAGGCGGGGCCTACGAGCGGAGGGGCGCGACCAGTGTTTGTGGGCGTGGTCATATGGAGGTGGGCGTGGTCAGAATGAGGTGGGCGGGGCACGGTTGAGGTTTATGGGGCTGAAGGGGGGCTGGATGGAGCGGATTGGGGGGCGCGAGGGGGCTTGGGGGCTGTGGGAGTGCGAGGGGGCGGGGGAGGGGTTGAGGATGGGATTTCAGGGGGATGTGGGCTGACTGGGGGCTTGGGGAGGGGGTGCGGAGGAAGGTCGGGGGATCGGCGGAGGGGTGGGAGTGAACAGAGGGTCGTGGGGTGCACAGGGGCTGTTGGGTGCCAGGGGTTCAGCGGGGATGTGGGGGCACGGAAGGGTGTGGGGTTGGATGAGGTGAGGGCTTGGGGGCTGGATGGGGGTGTGTGCAAGGCTGAAGTTTGGGTGCGTGGAGCAGGCGGGGCTGGATGCGGTGGGGGGTGGTCTCGGTGCTGCAGACAGCCCCCCAGCCCCACACCCCCACACACACCCGCGCCCCCCCGCGCTGCCAGCCCCGCGGGGCTCGGCCGGGTGCCGCTCCACTTATCCCAGAGTTTTCTGCTCCAGTAAGTCCCGTGCCCGGCTGTGACCCCCCCGCCACCGCCCACCCCGGGGCCAGCCAGCCCCGGCGCCCTCCCCGCCTCCCACAGGGATGGGGGGCACGCCCAAAATCCCCCCCAACAGAGACACACGCCCCAGCAGTGTGCAAAATATTTATTTATACTCCAAAAAGATCGGGGGGGGGTCAGAGCGGGGACCCCCCCTGCGCCCCCATCCCGTGGCGAGCCCCCCGCCCCGGGGAGGGCGCTGGCAGCAAAGCGGGGGGCCGGGGCGCGGGGAAGGGGGGGCTGCGCCCCAAGGGCACTGCCGAAACGAGTTGTGCCGGTCTCAGCTGGTTCCTGCCGGGCTCTCCCCATATCCTTTTTTTTTTTTAATTCCTCTCTTTCTTTTATTTATATTTATTTTGGCGTAGAAAAATAAATCGCTCCTATTTTGGCACCAGTCCTTCGTGTGAAAGTGCAGGTCCTGGGGGGCAACGAGTGTTGGCCCCCACCCTGGGAAGGGGGTACAGGAGCCAGCGAAGGGGTCCCCACACTCGGCTCCTTCCGGGGGGCACATCCCGAGCCCTGCGGGCACCCCGGGGGGGTTTGCGATGCCAGGGCAGGGCTGAAGCATCATTTGGGGTGGGGGTACAGCGCAGGGGGTCGGCAGGTACATTCGGGGGGCGCAGCCCGGGGTGGGGGGCGACGCGTTCTGTAGCACCGAGGGGGCAGGCGGGCGGGGGGTGGCCTGTCCCCATGTCACGCGCGGGGACCCCCCGACCCCTCCACCGGGCCTGGAAAACAAACCAACCGAAGGGCCGGGGCGGGGGGCGTGGGCTATGGCGGGGGGGGGATCTGTGCTCCCAGCAGGTCGTAGGCGAAGATGTTCCAGAAGACGGCGAAGAGCAGGAAGGTGCCGTAGGAGAGCAGCAGCACCCACCAGCCGCACTGGTCCTGCAGGCTCTCCTCGTAGCTGCGCAGGATGGTCAGCCCCATGCTGATGCCCACGATGGCCCCCGCCAGGTGAGCCATGAAGGACGGCTGCGGGCCCGAGGCCGGCAGCGGCGGCGAGAACCGGAGCCACACGGCGCGACCCACCTCGGAGCTCACTGCGGGACACGGCAGGGCTGAGCCCACCCCGCCCGCCCCTCCTGCCCGCGGGGGATCGGGGGTGGGTACTCACTGCACACCAGCGCCAGCACCATCCGCAGCAGCTTGTAGGGGCAGCGCATCCCGGCCCAGTTCTGCGGGAGAGGGACGGATGGATGGATGGATGGATGGATGGATGACTGGACGGACAAGGGGCTGGCACCAGCGATGACCCAGCACCAGGGCGTAGGCTGGTGCCATACCCCCAGTGCTCCCCGTGGAGTTCCTCCACGTCCCTGCTCCTCCCACCCACACCCACCCCATGATGCCACCCAAGGTGCTCTCCCCTGTAACAGTGTCCCCCCCCCCGATGCCACCCCACAGCATCCCCCCTCAGCATCCTCAGTGTCACACCATGCTGCCCATCCTACGGTGCCACCCACCCCATGGCACAACCCCCATCAGTGTCACACAAGGACACTGACACCCACCCCCGATGCCACCCCACAGCACTTCCCCCCAGTGTGACACAAGGCTGCCCATCCCACAGTGCCACCCACACCATGGCATCCCTCCCTAATGTCCCACCAGCCTTCCCACCCCACAAACAGCTCCCACCCATGCTGTCGCCCAGTGGTATCCCCCACCCAATACTACAGCGTGCTGCTCACCCTACAGTGCCACCCAGCCCCAATACCACCCCATGGCATCCCCCTTGATACCCCTAATGCCCCTCTCCCTCCAATGTCACACCATGACACCCACCCTCCAGTGCCATCCACTCCATGGCACACACCCCCCATGCTACCCCCCTCGTGCCCCCTGTGCCCCCTCCCCACTGACCATGACGACGTTGGCGAGGTGGGCTGAGCAGAGGGCGTAGACCCCCCCTGAGCCCCCGACCAGGGGGGCCCTCATATCAGTGATGGAGACAGTCAGGGAGCCTGGGGGCACAGACAGGGCTCAGCACGGAGCCTCACCCCCACAGCATTAATTAATTACTGTCCACATTAATTAATTAGAGGCTGCATTGCCCCCCAGCCCCCTGCCAAGTGACTCTGGCACTGCAGGGTAGTACCCAGCAAAGCCCTTCACCCTCATCATACTGGGGGTGCACCTCCCCGTGCCCTCCCTGGGGCTGGAGACAGATGGGGACAGATGGGGACAGATGGGGACGGCCCCCCAGGACCCACCTGCCAGGACCCCGGCCAGGTAGAGGAAGCTGATGCGCAGGATGCCGTGCACCATCTCCAGGGGCACCCCGATCATCAGCTGCAGGAGGGCGTTGAACCCCAGCTGCTCCAGCCTGCCCGGGCACAGGAGGGGGGCTCAGCCCGTGCAGCCCGTGCAGCCCCCGGGGTGTCCCCGGTGGCCCCCCCGCAGGACCTACCCCACGTGCATGAACATGTAGGTGAGGAAGCGCCAGGCCCTCGCCCGGTGCCCGGGGTGATAAACCAGGGGGCTCTTCATGTACTCGGGGTGGTAGGTCTGCAGCACCCACTTGTTCAGCCGGGCCCCGTAGCAGAGGAACACGATGATCTGTGACAAAGCCCACGGCTGTCACCCCCCAGCACTGCCAAAACACTCCCCCATCCTTCTGTCCTGGGCTGGAGGCACCTGGCCCCTTCACCCCAGGTCTGAGACCCCAGAGGATGCCAGGACATCACAGTTGTCACCTGTCCCCTCTGCTCTGAGTCTGAGCCTCCCATGGGCACTGGCAGTAGAACTGGGGTCACCCATCCCCTCTTCCCTTGATCTGGGTTCCACATAGGGGCATGAGGACATAACAAACAGGGTCCCTCATTCCTTCACCTCAGATCTGAGCCCCCCAAGGGCACCAGGCCATCACAACCGGGGTCACCCATCCCTTCTGCCCTGGGTCTGAGCCTCTGTATGGGCACTGGCACATTACAACCCGGGCCACCCATCCCTTTACCCCATATCTAAACCTCTCCATGGTCACCAGGACATCAGAATGGGGTCACCCAGCCCCACTGCCCTGGGTCTGAGTCCCCCATATGGGCACAGAGATGTCACACCCAGCGTCACGCGTCCCTTCAAGTCAGACCTGAGCCCCCTAGTGGGCATCAGGACATCACAGCCAGGGTCATCCATCCCTCCTTCACTGCAGATCTGAGCTCCGAATCTCAGAACCAGAGCCACCCACCCCGTCCACCCCGAGTCTGAGCCTCGCCGAGGTCACCGGGACACTTGGGCGGGGCTCGGCCCTGCCCCGCACCTGGGTGAGGGTGACGGCTGCCATGAACACGGGGGGCGGGCAGGTGCGGTGCTGGTAGAAGTACCAGCGCCGGTCCATCTCGCAGGGCAGGATCTCGTAGGCCACGTAGCGGACGAAGCGCTTGTAGAAGCCGAGGCCGGTCTCGTCCAGGAGGACGTCGCGGGGCAGTGCCCGCTGCCCGTTGGCGATGGCGCGTTTGAAGCTGCTCGAGCGCTTGCTGCTGATCTGCGGGGAGAGCCCGGGGGGCCGCGGGGGCCGCGGGGCTTGTGGCCACCCCCTGCCCAGCCACCCCCTCACGCCACAGCCCGGACGAGCCACCTCAAGGCCGTGCCACCATCCCATGCCCCTGAGGGACCACCGATGTCTGCCCCCCTCCCCAGGGGCACGAGGAGGTGCCCAGTGCCCACCCCGGGCTGGCACCCGGCCGCTCGCCCCCGTCCCCGCGGCCCCTCGGCACTGACCAGGTCTACCAGCTCCTGATAGCAGACCTGCCCCTCGTCGTTGCCCTGTGCCAGGGCCACCAGCATGTCGAGCTTGGCGGGGTCCAGGGGCAGCTCATGGCTGTGCACCAGGCTGGCAAACGTCTCCACCCCGATGAAGCCGGTGTTTTCGGGGTCGAGCTGTGGGGCACGTCAGGGGCGTTACTGGGATGCCGGGGCTGCGACTCTGTGGTTGGCTGGGGAGACCACCCGGTGCCCCTCACCGTGGCCTTGTGCTGTTCCATAACACCAGTCTCTGCCTCTGTCAGGGACACTACAACCTGCCCCCCCTCCAGACCCCGCGCCATGTGGGTGCCCCGTGTCACGCGGGTGCCCCGTGCCGTGCCGGTGTCCCCATCTCCCCGCGGAGCAGCCAACACTCTCCTACTCAGTTATTTCTTGCCGCCAGCAGCCTGCCAGCCAGGAAGCCACCAAGCTAAACACACGCGCAGCCCTGGCACCAGCCTCCTCCTCCTCCACCTC